ACATTAATTTTCTCCTAACAATATCCATGCATCATCAAAAGAAAAGTTTATGAGAATTACACCTTTTGCTGTTCATTACGAGAAAATATGCATTCATTTGCATGAAACGGCAACCAATAGCGCAGAGATCCATTCATTAGAGTAAGCAAAAGGAACATTTGCGCATAAATCATCTTCAATTACGATTTTTGCATAATTAATCACATTTAATAAACTGCTCTATTTTTCTTTTCCTTTTCTTAAGTGGGGGTAGGTGTGTATTGTTACAATCTAGAGCTACAAAATATCGGCGACAAAATTACAATGTAGTTGAGACACTTTGCCCTAAAGCTGATGCTTTACTGACTTCTAAAGGGGAAATAAAGCTTTCCCTCCCCCATTCCCTCCATGCAATGTTGTGCCGCTGTTCAAGCTACCTATAGTTAAAGCAACAAAAACTGCAACTTTGAATGAAGGGGAGTGGGGAGGGAGGTAGATTCTTTTCTTCTCTGTACTTATTACACTAGTTGAGCAAAATGCCCCAATAATTTTGTTGCCGATTGTAGTTTCCTAAACCTGACGCGAAGTCATTTGATTTGTTGTGAGATGAGATAAAAATCACTCAGGCTGGAAGGAGTGATGTTACATACACTACTTAGAGATATATTACAGTAGAGAGTTGATCAGAAAATTACACGGGATAAAATCTCCTGTCTTGTTTAAAGTAAGAGATGCCCTTAGAATAACGAACAGTTACTCCATAGAACATTATTTTATTTTCAGTCAAAATGCGATAAAGGACACGTCTATGTTCGCACTAGATCAACTTCCGAAGCTTACAGGGCGTGTAAAATGATCAGAAACAAATCTGTTTATCGGCCGAGTTACGCTGCAGTCGGAATGATATGCTCGACTAAATGCCAAAAGCAGTTAAAATCAACTGATCAATGCGATCATGATGTAAATTACCTTCAATTCAAAAACCATTGCAGTGTCATTGAAAGATTTCGCAAGAGGACGGTAATATCCTGTGTAACGTGTGTGACTAACGTATCCTTAATGTACTGAAAGCTTGTCTTACCTTAAGTAACAAGATATTTCCGCCTTGATCAAATCACACGAGGGAAAATGCAACCAAGAGATGGCCTGTTTGGATAAAAGGATAGCCTGTCTTCTAATCACAACTGCCTTGCCAGGCAAATTCAATATTTTTGTGTATCAGCTTAGCTCTACTCCAATCAATTGTTCTAGGCGAACGACAACTGCCTTACAAGGCAAACTGACTTGACTTTGCAAAGCTTGGAAACTTCAACATAAAAGAAACTTCGACCTTAAAAACAGCATTAAGAACAATTCAGCCTCTATTAAGTGAGAACTAAGGAAAAGTAAGCAACAGCCAAAGTTGTCTGGTTCTCATAAAAAAAAGTGTGACAGATATCCTATATTTTAAATGCATTTGAATTATGCTTTGAAAGTTGATTCTATTACTTGTTTTCGACGACAGCTATTTTATTTGACTGAATGAAATTCAACATCAGAAATTAAGCCAAGTCTCTCAGTTGCTACAGTTGTGGTACAGTACAGCAAGCTCTTGCAGCCATTTTTGTCTGGTCACGCAACGCTCCTCCTCCTTTGTTAGGGAAGAGTGTTGCGTGACGAGACAAAACACGGCTGCGAGGGAGACTAGCTCAGCACGGAAGTAACACGACGTTTCAACCGTTATTTCATTGATAATAATAATAATAATAATAATAAAAAGAAGAAGAAGAAGAAATATTATTACTATTATTAATATCAATAATAATAATAATAATAATTCACATGAAGATCTGGATCAGCTACTGATTACTGAGCCACAATACCGATTTTGAAATAGCATGCACGTCGTCATTCGGAAATTATTATATTTTGCGTTATTACATTATGCGTTAGAAAAGTTATTACAATTTGCGTTGAAAGATTATTACATTTTGCGTTGAAAATTTTCTAACATTTTGCGTCAATGTTATTACACTTTGCGTTAGTATTACATTTTGCGGCGATTCTTATTACATTTTGCGTTAATATTACATTTTGCGGCGTAACAACGGGGCTTCTCAGCATGGTCCGAACTTTAATAATTACTTTGTTTACCGGAAATTGTCAAGTTGAGACGCTTTTTTCAAGTGATATCATAATCGAGCGAAATGAAACATTTTTACTGTTCTTGCTCCCGCAGCAAACACGACCAACATAGACTACTGGCAGTCTCTCATTTTTTTTACTGCTCGCAGTCTACGACAAAGAATCATCAGTTTCGTGTGAATACACAAGACCTTTTATCTTACAACCTCATCAAGCACCGTGATGGTCACAAAGAACAGAACACTGGCCAGCCTGAGACGCGAATAATGAAAGTAAAGGAGAATTATAAACAATTGTCAAAACGCTCAACGGATAGTCTTTACCAAAGCTTCATCTCTCTCTTAGCAAACCATTTAAAACTCCATTCAAGACAGTATATGTTTTTGCG